TTACCACTTTATAGATCACTGGTTTGGCCTCATGTAGAGTTTGCGGTCCAGTTTTGGTCACCAATTCACACAAAAAGATGTCCTTGAGCTGGAGAGAGTCCAGGGAAGGGCAACTAATTAAGGGGCTGGAGGACCTAAGCTATGAGACAAGATTGCTAAATGTAAACTTGTTCACGCTAGAAGTGAGGCGATTAAGAGGGGACATGATTTTAATGTACAAAATGTTTAGCGGTGATGGCAACATCAGCAATAAACTTTTTACTGTAAACTCCATAACAAAGACTAGAGGCCACCACCTAAAATTGGTAGGGAAAAGGTTTAACCACAAGGGGCGTAGAGGCTTTTTTCAGTTAGAGATGTTAAAGTCTGGTACTCGCTGCCACAAGCAGTGGTATCAGCTGAGAGTATTGAATCATTCAAAAAGCATTTAGATACCTTCCTCAGAGACTGTAACATACAGGGGTACAGGTACTCTTAAAAACAAGGTCACAGTGACTCATGTACACACATACACATGCACAATCACACTCAGACACACAAAGGTTGAACTTGTGTCTTTATTTAACCTTAAATACTATGTAACTATGTAATTTTTTAATCTTTTAAATAATATTTTGTTATTTTCTCACGAGGTCATTTGTTTAAGCAAACACAGCGGGCAGGAACAGCAAGGCTATATATGACATGCTTTTAAGCAATCATGGTTCTGGAAAAGTTTTATAGACAATGTCATTTTTTATTTGGGGAGGGAATAGCACAGAATTGGACACATTTATGACCAGATTTAATAGTAATGATGAGTTGACTGATCGGAATGCATGTACCTAAGCTGTCATCATCCCCTATAGGTCAACAATATCCCTAGGGGCAAAGTTATATTATTAAGATCAAATTGTAATGTAATTGGTAGCTAACTTACTAATGGAACTATATTAATAATGTAACTGGTAAACACTGGCCTATTTTGAAAAAAGGTAAAACTCTGAGTGATTTATTGTCAGATAAACTGGTAGTATTACTGTATATAAAAAGACATATAATGGGGTAAGCCCCTAATGGAGTAAATAGGCCACCACAGGTTACTTGATTTGATAGCAAAGGATTTGACAGCAAAGGACCCAAAATCAGCATATAGCAGGTTTTTATCTGCAATATGCTGACAGCGCATAGTTCTGTGCTATCCCCTTCCCACATAAAAAATGACATCACCTAAAAAAAAATTCTAGAGTTATGATTGCTTAAAAGCATTTCATTTATAGCCTTGCTGTTCCTGCTTGCTGTGTAGGGAAACACCCGTCTGCCTGTCTTCAAGTGTGTGTAATGTACTGCTCAGCAGCACTGAATAGTATAGCAGCAACTATCACTCTCTGTAAATTCTCTGGCTGCTCTCCCTATCTACTCTAAGGCCCGGTTCACACCTGGGCGTTTTGTAGCGCGTTCCTGCGCTCTGCAAAACGCTCAAACACCGAAATCCCATTATTTCCTATGGGCTTGGTTCACACCTGGGCGTATTACAGGCCGTATGAAAGCGCTACAAAACGCCCTACGCCCAAAGAAGTACAGGAGCTTCTTTGGGGCGTTTTTGTCACGCGTATCCATTGGGATACAGCCAGGTAGCCCTCGGAAACGCACGTTTGTTGCGCGTTTTTTTAACCGCGAATCGCGGTAAAAACGCGTGACAAACGCGCATATTTGATATGCCTAGGTGTAAACCCAGCCTAGGTCTCTAACACACACTGCCAAAAGGCTGCTGGGAACATTGATTTTTACTGAAGAAGGGGCTGGAACATAAAAAAAACCCCTTATTAATGGCTTTTCTAAGCCATCTGACCACAGTTCAGAGGAGAGGAGGTGTATTAATGGTAATAATTTTCCTGAACCTCAAACAACCTGGGTTAAGGTCCAACTCATATTTGAACCAAATGTTATCCCTACTCAAGGACAGAAAGAGTTGGGAAATATCTGAAATGGGAACAGAGACAACAACAGAAACACTTTAAGTAGCATATAGAGGATAGAACCTCGGTCAAGTTTGTTTTGGTGTCTGTCCTGTCCATTCCCCACATGCACTATATTGCCAAAAGTATTGGGACGCCTGCCTTTACACGTACATGAACTTTAATGGCATTCAAATCTTAGTCCGTAGGGTTCAATATTGAGTTGGTCCACCCTTTGGTGCTATAACAGCTTGAACTCTTCTGGGAAGGCTGTCCACAAGGTTTAGGAGTATGTCTATGTGAATGTTTGACCATTCTTCCACAAGCGCATTTGTGAGGTCAGGTACTGATGTTGGATGAGAAGGCCTGGGTCGCCGCCTCCGCTCTAATTCATCCCAAAGGTCCTCTATCGGGTTGAGGTCAGGACTCTGTGCAGGCCAGTCAAGCTCTCTATGCACCGTTGTTGTGCCAATCTGAAGACCACACGGAATTTGGAGGTCTGTAGCTATTGACTCTGCAGACAGTTGTTGACTTCTGTCCACTGGGCATATGCACTGACCCCGCTCTGTCATTTTACGTGGCCTTCCACTTCATGGCTGAGTTGCTGTTGTTCCTAGTTGCTTCCACTTTGTTATAATACCACTAACAGTTGACCGTGGAATATTTAGTAGCAAGGAAATTTCACAGATGGACTTATTGCACAGGTGGCAACCTATCACGGTACCACGCTTGAATTCACTGAGCTCCTGACAGCGACCCATTTTTTCACAAATGTTTGTAGAAGCAGTCTGCATTCCTAGGTGCTCGATTTTATACATCTGTGGCCATGTAGGTGATTGGAACACCTGAATCCAATGATTTGGAGGGGCATCCCAATACTTTTGGCAATATAATGTACCTTGTCCTTGTGCCACAGAAAGCAAATAGAAAAGGGAAAAAGGAGAAGTAGTGATTTTAACCCTTTTGCATCCTAACCAGAAGGAGAATAAAAGTTTTGGCTGTAGATGGGCTTGTAGAATTCTAATATGTCACAAGAAACTCATTAAAGTGTACGTTTGATCAAAACTTTATATATAGCAGAGCTTGCTCATAAATGCACGTTGTACCCTGTTATTTATTTGTCATACTGCTGTTAGTAGTCAAACATACCTGGTAATCCTGCCAGGATACAGGTATTATTTAGAACACATGATGTACCCAGCTTCACAACGGTTCACAACGGTGACTTTAAAAGGATAGTCAGCATTGTCAGCCTCGGTTGTCAAGTTTGTGGCTGGACTACAGGACAACACACCGACGTTACCAACATTGTTTTAGATTATATCTCTAATGTTAGTGCTCATGGGAAGTATAGGTCTGTGACTGTCTGTATGTGTATCAACACATAGAAATAAAGCACCGCTCCTCCATGGCTTTAGCGGGGTAAAGACAGCCAGGTGCTCGCAGGCGGCAGGAGTGTGTCCTCGCTCCAACCAAACAGGTATATAGTAAAGGAAAAACCCGGCCGCACTCCATTCTGTGCTAAATCAGTCTATTTAACATCTGCCCATGGTCCGCTCCCTTTGACATGTTAAACATTGAAAATGAAAGAAGAAGGAGCTAGTAGAAGCTGTTTGGTTACTATGTTACTATGTGCAACTACTCCAATTCTGTCTGCTCCAGTTTTGATAAATTCCCTCCATTGTGTTTTGTTGCCGTCTGTGTCCCTACTGACAAGTCTTCCCCTCACTTCCCAGCCTGGCAGGATGTGAGAGGATGTATAAAAAGTTTGGGCTGGAGTTAATGATTTTGTATATACTTACAGATATTTGGTGAAATGCAACACTCTACTGGGTAACTAAATAAATACACAGTATATCCCTCTGTTTTAAAATAATAGCATACATAGTTACATTGATATCTAGGTTTAAAAAAGACACGTCTATTTAGATCAACCCTAAGCAAAAATAAAAAAAAGTAATAAAAAACAACAATTTTGTAATGCATGATTTACTCTGCTCCAATAAAGGTAAAAAATGCTTCCTGACGCCCAAAAGGCTGTCAACTGGCTCCCTAATTTATGGCTGCAAATTTCACTTTATCACCTAAGTTAATCTACAAGGCCAATACATTTTACAGTCCCAGGGGTAACCGCCGCATGCTATTTGTAAGGTAAATGCCTGGATGCTGATTCTCAAAAATATCCATACAAATCCAAAGTAGATATAGAGGAACTCACAGGTCTTGCAGGGGAGGTAAGTCAAAGCATCAACATTTGAGTGTCGACATCTTGATAGCGTTCAGTCTTGATAAAGATGGACTGAGCTCCATCGAAATGTTCACGATAAAATGCTGATGCTTTGACTTAACTTCATTGCAAGGCCAATACATTTTATATATCTACTTCATATCAAAACATATCTGTGTACTTTTACACTTTTAGTGCTGCAGAGTTGGATCATCTGCAGTTAAGAAACACAGAAGCTCTGTCTACCTGCTCTAACATTAAATGAATATATACTATAAATATTATAGTATAGATTCTTCACAAAGTGAATTCAAAAGCACTTTGTTTCTGCGGGCTGTCTTTCATCTCCAAAGCAAAAGTGATGGGTGACTGGTCTTTGGTAGAGATTTCAGTCTGGTTTGTGTATATGGAAGTGAACCACCTAATTTGAATTTAAATACAACAATAAATTTGCTGTCATAGTTGGAGTTACTGCCAAGCCCTATCTATGTTAATTGTTTTTTCCATTTAATGCCAGGTGGAAATGAGGTAACTTGCTTTTGACTTCCCAGTTCTAAGTGCACCATTCATTAAAATAATGCTATGCTCATTTGTCACAGTTGTGAATGTGTTTATCCCAAAAACTTTGACACAGAAGGAGTGCTGCTCTAAAATGTACTGAATCAGCGAGGCATCTGTCAAAATGTTTTAATGATAGACTGATTTCTAATATTCATTTACAGCATTAAATCTGGAAATAATACTAGAGAAATAAAGAATGTTGAGAAAAGATGTTTTGTATATAAAAATCAATTAACTTATTTTGAATGGAATACAGATGTGTATACTGCTCTTACATTGGGTAATCATGGGTGGCTTGCGTTCTGTGGCTCTTGGGAATCTCCGCTGTCTTTTTGGTGACAAACTTGTTATAGAGCGAGATGATGCTGAACTTAATTTCCAGCTTCGGAAGAAGACTTCTGTGCACACCAGTAGAGACAACACAGCACAGAGGAGCATCAAAGCAGGAGCTGTCCTCTTCCATACCTTCATCTTAAGAACAATCAAGGCATTGAGACTCTGCAAAAGACAGATACACATGCCAATGTCAGCATATATAGTGGTACAGCATTATATTTTATTTGTGTAGGGAAACTTACAAAAATGTCATTAAATTATAATTACAACATTCGTAGGGATTCTGGCACATTTTCAAAACTGGTCCAATCATGCTTGACCTAATCTGAACAAAATATCAGCTCTACACTGATGTGGCGGGGTGTGTTTCAGACTTCTGCAAAGAGATCACGCCAAGAACAAAGGTCCCTTCTGCAGCATGGTGGCAAGACACTCTACTCAAGGCTGTGATTGCTTTTTAACCACTTCAGTCCCGACAGCTGGCATCCAGCATTAATCCCAGGAGCTGAAGCGATCAGCTCCTGGGCTTTTGATCGTGTTACACAGTGTTCCATAGGAGCAGATAATTTTAAACACAATGCTTCGGCATTGTGTTACAAGTGAAGGGAAGTGACGTCACAATTGACACCATAACACTTGTACAGATGTTCGTCAGAGCTAAAGCAGCACTTACATGCCTTTACCTGCAGCAGCAGATCACTCATATAGTGATCCTTTGCTGCCTGATTGTAGCCAGCAATAGATCACTTTTAGAAAAGATCTATTGCTGCACAGCTGCAAAAGTCTCCACTGACCAGACTGATCCCCCATGAAGAAAAAAAAGTAATGAAGTCTCCTGATCTGACTGACATTCCAGTTTAGTGCATAAGCATCAAATGCTCACGTAAGTAAACACAAATGAGACATTTTTAGTGATCACAAGTCTGTAAAATAAGGGTATTTTTCCTTGGCTTAGCTAAAGAGGTGAAGCTGTGCTGACTCCAAACATCCAATTAAAAGTAAGCGAAACTTGTTTTTGTTTTGTTTTTTTCATTTTCCTTGCACATGATTGGATAGTCCTAAAAATTTAAATTTTCACCACATTCACTAAGTTGAGGAAAAATATCCCTAAAAAGTGAACATCCAAATTACCTTTAGTAAATCAATTCCCTTGTCCTAATGAGAATTCCTAGTTGAACATAGCTGTAAATTGCTGTGGAAGATCAGGCTGTCAGTTTAATTTTCAGTTAGTCATGAAGGATATTTAGGGCTGCAGACCACTTCATTTTAAAAGAAATGCTCTGAATTTTAAGGCTTGTGAAATGTTTTTGTATTTAGGTGACAATTACATGGGTTGCCTATTTGTAATTTTGCCCACAGTTTTACTTTCAAGTCTTGGCAGTTTTGGAATAGACTAAAGCACATTCGATGTTGGGCAATAACCAAACTATTTTAATTATTGGCACTAAGAAGGCATTTTACACTATTAATTGGTATGTAGGATCTACAAATTAAATTCCACTATCCTTTCTCTATGTCCTTCTCAAGAGGACAAGAATGAGATTTCTCCTCTCCCTCCTGTTATTTACTATCTTCATAGAACAGCAAGTGAGATATCAAGATGGATTTATTATGAGAATTACTGCTGTGAATGTGCAAGTTTCTCAAGCACTGTTCATTGATATACCCATATTGCTGTCTAATACCACCTCTGCCAAATATTGGACACAATTATTTATATGGAACTTTTTCCTGGGTACTTTTATTGATAACAATAATGTGAGATCTAAATGTGCAAATACAAGCTTGGAATCTTGGTAGCCAGCTCCAATAGTATAATTTACAAATTACAACAATGGCATTCTTTCTCATAATTTCTTTCAGGTGCCTTTTAAAGAAAGCGATAAGCTTTAGGAGACTATTACAATCTCTACACTGGGGATAGCCAAACGTCGTTTCTCCACCTGTGGTGAAAACACAAATGCCATTAGACATTGTAAGACTCTGATAGCCACGAGCATGGCTCTCAGGGGCAAATCCATGATAGAATTTGTAATCTTACTACAGCTGTAGGTCCGAAGTTCGGCTTCCCCTGCTTTTCACACCATTCAGATGATATGGCTCCGATATGATATTATAAATTTAACCAAACATTTTCTATGTTATTTGGAAGGGGTTTAAAGCTAGAGTAGCATTGAGCTGATGTTTTGGGCTGTGAGGATGTGGAAAAGTAAGCAGGGTAATAATCTGTCCAGATGAGGGACAATGCATAGATCTGTGCTGCAATGAATTTATATGAAAGTACTATACAAAATATTTTATGAGCCACCATAGAAAATCAGACATCACACCCCTATATTTACAGTAACCACAACAAACCAAAGCAATGGGGCTTTAAAGGTGTCATATCCGGAATGAGTGGAACACAAACAAGTCTCACAACAACATACATGTTTTTTTACATTTATTGAAATATATAAAATGTTAAAATGATTAAAATAATCCACTAACACTGGAATATACAGCATGTCACTGCTCCCATTACATTTTATACCATGGCATTAGCCCCCTTGGACCCGAAGTGTCGATGATTAACATCAGCACATTGTATATATAAACTGCTTAACAAACTCTTTTTATACATCAATCTTCTCATGAATATTAACTAACATATTCCTCAATCATATCATTCGTCCATATGTCGTGCATCAATGTGCAGTGGGTCTAGCCTTCTACCCATTTTGCCAAAGCTTCCTCAGGAAGATAGGAGGCAGTCTGAAATATTTATATCATAAACAGGTATACAGATAAACACAACTAAGCCCAACTAACGGGCGTACAGATTTATGTAGCCATCCAACATTCAATATTATGCCAATAAACACCATCTTTTGAGACAATGGTGATGAATGAGTCCACATATCCAGGCTATATCCCCCAACATCCAGGAGGTAGAGAGGGTAGGGAGCACCTAAGAAATCCCAGATAGGAGATGCCTGATAACCATCCATCTGTACCTACACAGATGTTGGGGGATATCCCAGCTCTTTAAAACCCCTACACAGCCTGTTCCTAACCAATTCCCAGCAGGAAATGCTCAAATTGGCCTCATTGCTTTCAACTATTATGTCACACCATTCCTGTCAGTTAAGCAAAAACAGCATTGAATGTTTCCTCTATGTGAGGTTTTCATTCTGTATGGTTTTACAAAGGGCATGACTAAACTTTTTCAGTCTGGCATAAACAACACTAACTGGCACATTATGAGCAATTCTTTTGGGCTTTGCAAAAGGTTTTGCATACAAAAGAGACATTATATTGAAGAGTATGTCCCTGTGTATCCAGAAATGTTGCATCCGGCCAGCACATCCATTGTACACTACATGACACCAAATTTTCCTTTATCAGAATGAGTAGCCTGTGGCCCTTCTGCTACTAAAGTGTGATACAGCAAGTAATGTGCTAAAAGCAGAAATGACCTAAGTCGATTGTTATATTTTGAATAAAAAGACTTGTTCTGTGAAGCTCAGACCTTGGTATTTCATTTATGTCAGCTGTTTAGACAAAATAGACTTCTGTGTGTCATGAATTGACAATAATTCTTTCTAGAACAATCATCCTTAACCAGTTGACATCCGCGGTGTTAAACCCCCTTCCCATCCAGGCCATTTTTCAGAAGTTGTTGTGTATGGAAGTACGCTGAATCCTCGGACATATCTTCTACAAGGAAACAACACCAATTTTTGTATCATAGTGCTTAAAAATATAACCTACACATGTTGTATGCAATAACTACAGGTTAGGTATTGCATTGTCCATTGCATGCGTCTACCTTTACTGTCACAGTATTTTCGAAATAAAAAATAAATCAAAAGATGGGTGAAATAGATGTATGGCTTGTGGCACCCACTTACTAAGGGGCGCTTTTTACATTTCATATACAGGTGAAACTCGAATAATTAGAATATCGTGCGAAAGTAATGGCAGTAAGTGCTGCAAAAGGGGCCCAAACCAAGTACTGAGTACATATGCATGCTTGTACTTTTCAGAGGTCTGATATTGTTCTATGTACAATCCTTGTATTATTGATTGCATGTGATATTCTACTTTTTTGAGGTTGTGGATTTGGGGTTCTTGGGGTTTTCATGAGCTGTAAGCCATAATCATCACAATTATGACAAATCACGGCTTGAACTATCTTGCTTTGCATGTAATGAGTCTATCTCATATATTAGTTTCACCTTTTAAGTTGCATTAGTGAAATAAATGAACTTTGCACGATATTCTAATTATTTGAGTTTCACCTGTATTCATTCTCCACTGAGATCAATCCTTTCTGCCTGGGAAATCTTTTATCAGCTGTGGCATTTTACAATATGTATCCTAAATGTAAGATTACACATGATATTGTTTTCCTTTTTTTGTTGACATTAACTTTAAAGTATATATAAACCTAGTCACTGAAATCTTTAACATACTAATGTAATTTCAAAAGTTACATTCAATATTTTTACATTTTCAGCTTTTATTAAAATAATACCTGGTGATTCTGCCACAAACTCTGCCCATCTCCCATTTGTGGTCCTGCACTGCTATTCTATCACATGGGTGTCCCATGAAGACTACAAGTGGCTGTTTAAACACACATTCTGTGGAAATGATCCACCATTGTCACCATCAGAAACCCACCCTGAGAAATGCCATTCAGCCATAACTGGAGTGCATGCGTGTAGACAGGAAGTGGCTGCAAAGAGGCTGCAGATCCACAGCACTGAAATGCAATTAAATAAGGTGAAAATAATTACTATATTAAAAATAGGCAATTGCTCATGATACACAGTGCTTCAGCAAACTAAATGTAATTCATGTAGGGTTTACATCTGCTTTGTTTACAGATTAGTCTTACAAGACGAAATCATACTGAAATGAGAATGTACATTTATGTCTGTTGGTTGCCTGTTAAGGTAAAACAGTACAATATTTTATATATGACCCTGAAAACAATTTTGCAAGCCCTTGGGAATAATCGTGACACCAAGTACTACCTGTTTCTGTACTATTTCCAGAATTTTGTAGCAGTTGTCCATTTGCATCTTCTGTCTTCCTTTCCATGCCTCAAACAGGTTTCATTTCTTGCAGTTCCCAACATTTTTATCACACAAGGTAGCATTGCATGGTGATGG